CAAATCGAGCAGATGCAGAGTCAGTCATTCCCAAACTCATATGATCTTGCGTGCTGACAGCTTTAGAATTTGGAAACAGGATACCCGTCGAAATCCGTCATCAGTTTCATGATCTACTCAACGACAGCTATCTCATTCCCAGTCTTACACACTATCTCAAGTACATTATCTCGCATCAACATCGATGAACCTTTCAACTAACGTGGGGTAGATTCCTCGATGCCTGGAGAGCTGGAGACTATCCCAACGCATTCGACTATTTGCACCGTTACTTTGACTACACCATGCAGAACAGAGATCGCCTGTTCTACCAATACGCTTTGATGAACTTGGCTGTTTTGCAAGCCGACTTTGGTTGTTATAAAGAAGCTGTAGCAGCCATGCTTGAAACTGTGTCGACAGCGCGAGAGAACCGAGACATGACTTGCCTCAACTTTGCCTTGAACTGGCTCTTCCACTTCGGCCGTGCCCATCCTGATCTCGTTCAGGATCTGGAAGCGAACAGCCTGCTCGGGACTGGCAAAGAAAGCTTGGCCTTTCTCCGTGTTAAGGCCAGAGAGACAGGCATGTTCACGCTTTGGAGCTCAGTTCTCCTCAGTGAAGCAAAGCTCGGACTCTTGAACGGTGACAGCGTGGCTACTGCTTTTGAGTCGATCGTGCGAAGCTCTCACATCATCGTAGAGAGGAACATGAACAACATGTTTGGGTCACACCTTTCACTCACTTCAGCTCTGTGGGACAGGCTTGGCCTCTCGACCCTATCGTCAGCAACCTGCGAGGTATTCCTGAAATGCCACGCCCGCAATGCCATCTTTGACGATGAACTGAAGATGACTTGCCGACTCGCTCTACTACTTGCTTCAAGGGGAAAATACGACGATGCAATGACTAAACTGGAAAACCTGGAGGATAACTCACTGAGATCCTGGAAGCCTAGCCAGTACTGGCACAAGTACCGAGGTGTCATTAAGCTGAAAAGAGACTTGCATCATAACAACCTCGAAGGAGCTGAACGGCTTCTATCTCAGATCCTCCAATCAAAGATGGATGATCTAGAACCTGATATGGCGTTCTTGGTAGACACCCTCCACATTGACTATCTTACTCGTCGTGGGGATCTCCAAGCAGCGTTTGCAAAAGTCGACAGCATGATGTCGCAGCTAGAAAATGAGAAGAAGGATGTGGTACTCAAGGTCAAACTCTTGCTCCTAAAGGCCTCTCTTCTTGATAAGTGTGGCCGGCCGCAGAGAGGGTTCACGACAGCAATGCGGGCAGCGAGCATATCGTGGGGAGCTCGTCTGATACCCTGCCTCTGGCAAGCAATCGGCTGCGTATCGAATATTCTGGTCTCTTTGAAGGAATTTGAAGCAGCCTCTCAGCTCTTGTTGGCTATCATACCCCGTTCACTCGAGTGTGAGACTGAGAGTCTGACAGCCCAGCTCTACAGCTACCTCGCTGATGCCAACATGGGACTTGCTGGTAAATGCGAACCCAAGTCAGCCAAACGATCGGAATACATGACGAAAGCTCTCGCGGCGGTGCAAAAGTCTTTTGATCATTACTCAAGTGTCGAAGACATCAACATGCAATGCCAAATGATGGCAAAGAAGGCGATGATCATGAAGCTGACTGGGGATATGGTTCTGGCTGCAGATTACGCTGCAGCGTATGTGTCATTGCGAAAAACTGCTGAATCACTCAGTCTTGACGGGTAGGCATTGGTAATGGCAAATTTGAATCGTCGGCATTGCTTGAAACGATATATGGGAGTTCATTATACCATTTATTTATACAGAGACGGGTAGTCTCTCAACCAGTCCTGGAGAGGATTCATATCCAAGACCATGAAACTTTACGAATACACACGCAATTATGCTGTATGCCCCATGTAACACTAATAATGCTTGTTTGTCTACCACCGTACTTTTTCGCCCTTCTTGTTCCGTAGCTGGCCTCCCTCTGCCACAGTCTCAGTTTTGGGTTTTTCTGCCACTTCTACCTCACTGGGATCATTGGTGGCCCACGCTCTCTCGATGCACAACTCGAATGGACCATCAACACGATCTGTTAGTCCAATGCCCACAGTCAAGACCTTCTGTCGAAGCATCTCAGTCTGAGGTTCCACCACAAAGCCGTGATTCGTCCTGACAAAATCGTTCCATTTTATGAGAACTGTTTCCCATTGGCCTGGGCGTTTGGGGAATAATCGATGTTGATGTAAATCTGATGGCTCGACACTCTCTGTTTGCAAGTTGACAAAGTAACTGCGGCCATCTGACTTGACTCGCAGGGCGAGGTAGATGTATGGATCAATATCCCACATGGAGCGGCCGAAGGCGGTTGGCCTTTGATCCGGAGACCGAAAGCCGGCAAAGCCAGTTCGTTGAATATTGGGGCGGTCGGAGGGGAGGCGAGTAGAGATGTTGCCATGAAAACGGGCATAAGCGGAGGGTATCTTGGGGTCGTTGTTGGTGTCGGTGGATTTGTGGAAGTCAAAGTTACTCTCTGAGAAGCCGCCGATGGTCTTGTCAGTCATGACGATGCAGTCGCGAACGCTATCGGGGGTGTTGAACTCGTAAAGAGGCTTGGGTTGTGTAGCGCCTTTGATGGCCTCAAAGCTCACAGCTGCAACATTTAGCTTCAGAACATTACGAAGCTTGGGTGGAATATACCTATTTGCGTGCGCCGCCTGAGCTCATCCATACTACGGCCGAAGAAGCCTCTTGAGAGGAGGGTTTGTGTGGCCCTCATGATGTGTAATTTTGGTGTTTATGTGTGATATCGAGTTTGAAGCTGTCGCAAGCTGTTGACTGGAGCCCAATTGGCTCACCGAGGGTCTGATAACATGAGATATGATAATGGCAACGGTACGGGACGAAAATTGACCCTTTGGTCGAGTTTTAGGCCGTGGAGCAGTGATGTCGCTGTAAAGTTGCGGTTGTACAACTGGGGATGTTGATATTTACACATGTCTAGCATGTGCCAATTGGTCTATTTCACCTTGGAGATCCCCCGCATTTTCACCACCCACCGGCATCGGTCAGCGGGGCATATTTGATCCGCCATCAGCCCAGAACCCAAGAAATTCTTCAACGGCAGACGACGTAGTTTGCCGAAGCCAGCTCGAGCTCGATAATGACTCTGCGCCGCGGGTAACCACCGGGTGTCCCTGTTAACAATTCCTACGTCTCGATTCTCTCGGTCCAGCAAATTCGTAACAAAAGGTTCGCCAATGTCTCTCTCGGCAAAGGCGCTACGCCCGGCCGCTCTGCGCCAGAGCGTTCTCGGAGCGGCGAGGGTCCAATGTCGATACATGTCCATGCCCTCCAAGGGAAAGATTCTGCGAGAGATGCAGAAGGCGGCTTCTAAGGATACCAAGAAGACGGACGTTCAATCGATGTCGGCAATCCAGAAGAAGGCCAACGATGAGTACTTTAAGGGTGGAGGTGGTCCTCTATTTCCTGGTGAGTTATCATGAGGATCGTTAGGATCCCCGACTTCTCAATGCGCCAATTGAGACTGTAGACAAGTAATTTGAACCATGAGAGAAGACTAACAGCTCAAAGGCACATTTGTCTCTCTCCCATTCTCACGATACCCCTCCGGCGCCTCCAATCTACTCAACTACTCATGGTACCGACTCCGACAATTCGGTTTCGAATACCTGTCTCTCCTCCAATGGAAGCTCAAGTCTATGCCCGACTGGACAACACGGCCCAAGTGGAAGATCGCCCGAAGCAAGATCGCACCTACAGCGAAGAACATGTACATAGAGATGCTCGGGGCTTTTGCTGCCGGTGACAAGGCTGCTGTCAACGAGCTATGTCTGGGCCAGTTCGGAAAGAAGCTCATCGCCGCTATCGATCGTCGAAATCCTGCTGAGCGTGTAACATTTGAGTTGGTCAAGCTCAATTCGACATGGGCGTACCCTCGTGTAATGGCACACCAGGTCCACAACGTGAACCCTCACGATAAGGAGCACAGCACAGAGCAGGCCGTTGTTGCGATTGCCTCAACACAAAAGGTAGCGAAATACAAGAAGGCCACGGGCGAGCTCATCCCCGGAAGCACAAAGGTGCAGGACAAGATCGAATACGTGGTGGTCTCACGACAGATCAGCGAGAAGACATTCCAATCTGGCCAATGGCGCATATGGGGAACCATTTCTCCAACAACTCTAGAGGCGTTCCAGGAGGAGCAGGACTGGATCACCAGGGAACAGGCCAAGCGAGCTGGATGGGAAGGGCCTCTGAAATAAAAATAAAAAGGTGCAAAAATTGTATAAATACGCTGGAATGCTCACGATGTTAGTGGGCAGAGGAGGAGGAGGGAACATGTAAAATGAGAGTGTATATTGTACGATGAGCATGTTTTGTACTATATTCTAGAATACCTTTGCATTGAGACTGGCGAATGGACGGTTATCAAGTACTTCTCCAATTCAGTTCAAGAGATCAATTGCTGTGTGTGATGGTGCAATTGAGAGCATAACTGAAATTCAGATGCAGAAGGTGATATTGAAGACAGTATCTGTGAAAGGAATATGAGAACACATCAATTGATTTGATGGTGATGTTGTGTAGGTGGTATTTGTGCTGGATTGTGGATTACTGTTGATGCCACTATAGCAGGCTGTGGCTGTGGTATTCCTGGTGTCTTGACATATGAACTGAGTGCTATCACTAGGGGAGGGAGCGGCCTGTCCTGGCTCTGTTTTTATCAGGACAAAATAAATGATTAAGCTGGCAGACATAGTGATTCTCATGCTATGCGAGTTCTGAGCTAGTGCTGCAGGTCTGTAAAAAAGTTGTAGTATGGGAACTACCGAGTTGAACAATTAGGTTTAGGCTTAAATACTGGTGTAAATCTTCTTGATTAACCTATCGCTTACTTTTCGCCAAACCATCCAACCGCCAAACCGATCTTATATCAAACCTTCAATCGATTGCCAAACTTTTTGATAGAACAGAATCCAAAGGCATCTGCTTAGTGTCACCTTTTTAAAAGAACTTGCCAGGTGTCGAAGAAACAAGGTTCTCAGTGGGAACATCCTCCTCGGTGCTCGAACGACGAGGGTCCACGGGGCGATCAAGAGCATCAAAGCGATGTCCTCGAATCTTAGCAGACATGTACTGGTAGGAAAGACGGAGGGCGAGAGCACCACAGCCCCAGAGGATACTTCCAACGGGGGCAGCAACGAAAGCACCAAAGGCACTCCAGTCATTGCCGTAGAGACCCTTCTGCACAAGGAGAAGCTCACCGGCCTCCTGAGCGTTACCATAGTAGACGCATCCAAAGATGAAGACGGTGAGGATACCACCAAGACCACCGACAACGACCTCAAAGCCACGCCACCAGTAGAACTTATCCACGAGACCAACTACCAGGACAGGAATTGTAGCGGCGGAGATGAGATCGGTGATGAGCCAGATCTGAAGAACGGAGGGGGCCTTGAGAGCAATGACGATGACGGGGATGATGATGAGGACGACAAAGGCACGGATGTACCAGATGTTGAGCTTGTTGCGGAAGAGATCGTTGGAGCCGGAGGAGACCATAGCAGACTGAAGACTGTCGAAAGCAGCTGTGCTCATGGTGACGACCATGACAAGCACAATGCCAACAACCCAGCTGGGAAGGGTCTCGAGGAGCACGAAGAAGGCCACTGATCCAGAACCAGCTGCGTCCTCGAGAGACAGAGCTCCGGACCAAACGGCGATCAGACCAGTGGAGCCAACAAGAGTGAGGATACACAGAATGACGATCGTGGCGATGGTGGTACCAATTCGAAGATCCTTGTCAGTCTTGGAGGCGAAAGTTCGAAGCCAGAAAGAGGAGAGGAAGAAGTCGTTGGTCAAAACAGCAACAGGTAGGATGTACAGAAGCTGCCAGCCGAGGAGGTTGGACTTAGTAAGACCAGACTCTTCGATGAGAGGTCGTTGAATCTCAGTCTTTGCGCCAATGGTGATGGCGGCGATAATGACGAGACCGATAACCATGGCACCCTGGGCAACATCGGTGATGAACGAGATTCTGAATCCACCGAGGGCTGCAGACTGTTAGACAAGTCATATGGCCTCAACACAGGGAAACTCACAGGTATAGATAGTTGTGACAGCGCACTGAACAATCATAATCGGAAGAGGTTTGAGGCCAGTCATGGCATTCACAACCTGTCCAATAGCCGACAGCTCACCAACCATGTACAGGAACAAGGTCACAAGAGACATGAAGCTCAGATACAGCATAGTGATAACACCATATCGCTGGCGAGTCCACTCGGTGAGGACGAAACCCTCGGGGCATCGTCGTCGGATGATAGGGCCAAGGTATCCAAAGATGAGCATGGGCAGCGAAGACGCAAGAGCGTAGACAATCATGCCCTGGACACCGGAAATAGTGGCCAACTCAGGGTAAGAGAAGAGAATACCAGATCCGAGAGCTACAAGAGTCAGTTGTCATTCCAACGTTGTAGGGGGGCAGGGGATGGATTGGAGCGGCAACACTTTTCCCACGCAAGCATTAACTTGATCGAGTATTTACGGTACAATCTCAGCTTCGTCGTCGCACGCCAGGATCTCCCCAGAGAGGTCACATCTGCCATAGCAAACATGCTCCGAGGTTGGATCCAGACGATACGTCAACTCAGCGCCCGTAGTGAGCCGCATCCTCTCCCCCCAGCCTCCCGAGATTGCCTCTCTGGAGCAGGTAGTTCGAGTTGCCCAGCTCAGCTGAGGGTGACCTCAACTGAGCTGGATGGGGTTAGTAGCAACAGAGTCTGAGAGCATCTCAGGAGGGGTAAAGGGGGAGAGAAGGAAGATCTTCTTTCAATGTACGAACCTGCTCGTTCATCTTCTGACTGGTATATACTCGACCGAGAAATTGCAGGCTGTGGTCTCCGTGCGAGGTCTCACAGCCCGTGTTCTTCGTTTTTGCTGACATGTTGCAGTTTGCCACCGCTCCGGAGTTTGTTGTAGCAAGAGCTCTTTTGGCTCTACTCACCGGAGGCGATGAAGTTGAGGGCCAGAGGGAAGGCTATTATTGTGGTTAGTCTATGTTCTCTGTAGATTTGGCTGAAGTTGAGATGTCTGTGAGGAGAGGAGCAAAGTTGCCTTGTCGCCTCTCACAAGCATTTCGTAACTGGGGATTTTCTGACCCGTCTGGGTTCCGTTTCCTGAAAGGAAATCGGCCTTTGACTGATTTCTCATCTTCCAAGCAATGCCAGTTCCCATGAGTCTGTTTTCTGATGATTAGCTTTCAATACGAAAATGTAAGCGAGATCGGAGACAAACAGGAACAGGGCATAAGTGACATAGATGACGGCATTGGACGCCGTGTTCGAGGGAAAGCCCATTATGAGTGAATTTCAAGTTGACGATCCTTTGCTGATGAGATGCGTTTGTATCTTCCTTTAGTTGAGAATTGAAGTGATGTAAGTGAGGACGAAGGAAGAGAGAGAGAGAGAGAGAGAGAGAGAAATTGCAAATAAGTCAATTAAAAAAAGTCGCTCCTGGTTTGGTTTGGCTTGGTCTGGTCTGGTCTGGGATGATTAGTTAGCGTAGGAATAGAACAACCTCCTACACCCGATTTAGTAACGTTCTATCGCCAAATTGACTGCATTGAGGAAATCTGGACCATCAAATGCTTGTCGCTTTTACTACGGAGAGTGGGGGTCACTGTAGCATCCTTGGGCCACTGTAAACCGCATGATCACGGCCCACAATGGATGATCGGCCGACGCTGAATCTACCTGAGCAAGCTGAGGGCCATCAGATCATATCATATCATTAGATGTGGCAACTTTCGGCCCTTTTCGTCGGTCTCAGTCATATCGTCACAATCACTTACTCACTCAGTCATTCATTCACAATTGCGTGCATTGGGGACAAGAGTTTTGGTGGGACAAAGTCCCATTGGTGAGATTGCTCTCTTATTCTCTTTTTTTGTGCTTTTCTAGGGGGAGTTGACAATATAAATCAAGAACAGTAAAGAAAGGAAGCGAAATGAAAGGAAACCGTGAAGTAAACAAATCCGTACATAGACGAGAAAACCACAGAGACACCTCGTCTCTCGTATCTGACCGTGGTTCCGAAAGCAATCCAGTCTCATCCAACCCTGCCGTGTCGAAGATCTGTTCTGTCTAAGGGCATCCAAGCCGATATGATTGATTGGGGTGATGTCTCTTGTAAATCCTGGCGTCTGTCTTTGTGCTGTGGCTCAGGGAAAAGGCATGCCTAGCATGCTGGTGTTGTGATGTGTCTGGCGGGGGATTAAAAAACCTGTAGCTGGTTGCGAATAAAACTTTTTGAGAACCAAAAAAGAAGTCATTAAAGAGCGATCAGGTCCAGCTGTAGAAATGGCGACTGAGCCTAGGCTCCTAGGCTCGCATGGATATATAGCTGTGGATAGCACTTGCAAGCTAGGAAATCGAAATAGAAGATGAGAAATGTCGAATAAAGGCGCCAAAAAGATCGAGCTGGAGGATCAGGTTTGGTGGTCGGAGACAAGTTGAACACCAAGAGGCCATCTACTATATACCTGGATATAGAGGTTGTGGCAGGGCGTCTGGATATCTAAGAGTTATAGCGACGGTAGCGCTCTGCTTCCTGTCGCTGGCGGCTCTGGTGGAAGGACTCTCTTGGTCCTCGGGGAGTGAAGTTGGAGTGGGGCATACCGCTGTAATTCCCCTGGTAATGCATCTGCTGAGGATGCGCGTATGAAGCATGGCGGCGACCTTGGTACTGAGGTCGACCATGGCTTTGGTATGGGTGGTTGCGAGCATCTTGAGACACAGTCATGGGCTCGTGATACTCGCGTTGGTGGTGTCCCTGGAATGGCACCTGAGGTTGCCCTTGGTACATGGGGGCGGCATGTGGGGGAGCAGCATACTGCACCTGGGATCGCCCTGGGCCTGCATACCCAAGGTGAGAGGTGCCTGGATACATCTGCATCTGCTCGTGGACTTGCAGATGAGGATGCTGAGGCACATCCATATAAGTGAAGCCACCTGGAGCAGCAGCCGGCGCCATGGCTGAAGGTGGCATGGGGATGTAACCCATGGGAGGCATTGTGGGAGGGTATTGTGGGACCATATGTGCGTATGGCATCGCAGGCTGGTAGATTTGCTGCTGAGCAGCAACGACAAGCTGACCCTCCGGGGCTTGCTGAGAGGCAACAACGACCTGTCCTTCCTTAGCTCGCTCTGTGGCATCACTCTTTCGTGACTTGCCACTTTTCTCACGAGCCTCATCAGTCTCGCGAGTGAGCGTTCGGCCGCGGAGGATTTCCTCGGAAGCGTAGGTACCTTTAAGCTTGGACTGATACAAGAGGTTACGCTTCAAGTTCTCTTCGGACAGATGGCGGCGTCGAATGAGGTAACTCTTGGCCTTCTTCTTCTTCCGCGTGCCCTGCTCGTCTGGCGAGCTTCCACTCTCGCGCCAAGTGCTGTCGTCACTCTCCGAAAGGTCAAGAGGAGGCGGATAGGTAGACGTGATGAACATAGAAACAGCACGGCGGTGTCCCTTGCCGTTGGCCTTGTCTTCAGCAGCAACCTCACATCGTCTCGCAGCAAGCTCTGCAGCAGGTGAAAAGGCCGTAACCCGTGACTGGGCATCTGCAGCGAGGCGGTCCTTGAATGCTCGGAGGTTCGGTGGACTGAACTCTGCAGGAGGAGCAGGTATCTGAAGGGGAATGGGAGATGAGCCCGCATGAGACGGCAGAGTGCTCGGCGACGGAGCGAACCGAACTGCGTTGCCAGACTCGTGCTTCTCGGGAGAATGGACGGGAGTGACAGAGTCCAAGCTGGGAGCTGGAACTGCCAAGGTCGGTATAGCCTGCAGTCTGGGCTGTACAGTCTCTGGCCTGAGCAGGTCCTCTAGGCGATGGTGCTCTAGGAACTCCTGCTCCTCCTGAGAGAGGCCTGTGCTCGACACCATGCGGCGGTGGTCAGGAGTGGCAGCCGCAGAGACGATACGAGAATTGAAGCGACCATGGGGACGCTTGACCGGACGGAGAGGAGATGGATACATACGCGCATCATCTGTACTGCCAGGCATTCTGGAGGAACCAGACATATGAATACGGGAGGGGCCAGTGTTTGGAAAGTGTAAACCAGAGTCTGGAAAATGGAAACCATGGTTAGGGTGGTGTAGGCCAGAATCGGGCAAACGAGTCCCGATGGCTTGAGGAACCGCTACAGCTTCCGGGGCCGGCTTGGTTCTCTTTCGTTCGACCCGAAGGATGCAGCCTTCAACTTCTTTGCCATTCTTGGGACAGGTGTTAGCAGACATTCGGTACGCACTCGGATCCCGACGGAAGACAAAGGAAGAACTTACGAATTCTTCCATGGCTCTGTCAGGGACATCAAACTCGTCGTACTCGACGAATGCCCAAGGGTGAGGGACTGGAACAGTTAGTTGAGACCAAGCTGATGGACGGGAGTTACTTACGACCACCGTCCTGGTCAGGGGAAGTTCGTAGATCAACAGAACGAATATGACCGCAGATGCCAGCCAGTCGGTAGACCATGGCCTCGTCAGCATAATGAGGCAGTCCGCCGAAGAATACTGAGCGGCAGTCCTTTTCATATATCTCCATGAAGGTTTGATCGTCGGCCGGGCGGTCAGAACGCTTCTGAACCATCTTGGGATCGAAAGCCATGATGACGAATGGCGTGTTAGGGCCGACATCCTTAAACTATATTAGCTCTACGATTAATAGAGTTGTCTGGGATAGAACTTACCTGAATGACGTTGCGTTTGGGGTCAAATCTGGAGTACAGTATACGAAGACTGGGAGGAACGGCGAGCTTGGTCTGAGCATCATAGTCGAGAATTTCGACCTTCTTGACTGGCCCATAGCGGGAAAAAATAGAAAGAGCCTCTTTTTCGAGAACGGGGCGAGTGTCTTTGCGCCAGATAATATAGGAGACTATTGGAAGTTAGCATTTGGACATAGAGATTTTGTCGGGAGGACGCACGGTTTCCGCCGCACTTCTCAACTCGAATAGCACGGCCATGGATCATATCTCCACGGGCCTCGCGCACCGCAACATCGGCGTGCTTGATTTGCTAACAAGAAGTTAGTCCATCATGTGTCAAAGAGAACTGATGGCTATCATGGTCAACTCACAGTGTACTGAACAAAGGCCATTGGCATATGCCTGATGCGGTCGCGCTTGACCTTGACGAACACTGTGCCAAACTTTCCGAAGTGCTTGGTGAGAGAAACCCTCAAGGTGAGATCATCGACGTGTTGAGGGAGGCTGGGCCCAATATTAGTACATGTATTACACGGCGAAGAAACGAGTTACTCACTTGGCCACAAACAGACAGGCATCCCCAGGGTAAATAGACTGGGCATCGAACTCTCGGTGTCTGTTGTCGACTCCCACGTTAGCCGGCAGGGTGGTTATGGGTCGGGCGAACTCGTCCATAGGCATAAAATCGCCTATAGGCACCGGCTGTGCCTGGTTCGCCACGACCTGAGTTGCAGGCATAATATTATCTTGGGTAGCTTGATGAGGGTTATTATAATGGGAAGAACCGTATTCAGGCTGGGAAGTATTGACTTTCTGGACTAGAGACGGCATGCTATGGACTTCTGTCAGCAAAGTTCAACTTGAATTCGTGCTCAAACCAGTAACTACCTCTTAGAACTCAAGAGCGGTCGGCTAGGAGAGGCTGGACTTTGTTAGTACATCTGCTTGTTCCAGAAATGGCGAAAATAATGAAAAGTGAAGCTTGTGAGGGAAAAGCCCCTGAGCTGCTTGCTCGCCAGAAAGCACGAAAAGGGGCTATCCCCAGAGTTACCACGACACGGGAGAGTAGCCGCTGACACACCAAGGAAGCGCGAGGAACTTTTCTCATCGAAGAAACGAGAAGGGGATGAAAGAATTTCAAAGACGTTTGGCGTGAGAAACGGGTGTCTTCACCAGAAATCAAACCACAAAGACTCCGACTTCATGTCGAAGGACAGGCAAGACAGAGAGGGGAGAAAAGAGTAGAAACGCCAGTTTTTCCTCTTGGATGTGATAAAAAAGAGATGAGAGGAGTTCCAGGAGTTGAGCCATGTAAGACAATCGTCTCTTGACAGATTGAGGCAAGCGATAAAACAAAGAAGCCCGACTTGGCGCTGGAGAAGGAAGTGATGGAGGAGAAAACAGAAGACATGAAAGACAAGATGATACTGAGAGGACAAGACTCAAGAATCCAGCGTGCTTTCGGTAGAAATCAAACCATCTTGCGAAGGGCTCGCCGCCAAGGCAGAACAGGGAGACGAATCAGATGTGATGGAATGAGATACTTACATCTGGGAGAGCCATCGCTCTCCGACTCCTCCTCGTCGCCCGAGTAG